CCGGTGCAATTATAAATGAGTCCTAAGGTGTATTACTAAGGCAGCGTTCAGAGTTCGCGACGACGCGCGTTGAGGCGCTGTAACGTGCTGTAACTCGCGTCGACGCGCTTCAATTGCAACAGCGCTCTGAGGCTATAGACGCGAGCGCAGTCAGGGGACGGCTAGTGCCGATCAATGCCAGTCTACGTGACTAGGCAGCACCCAAGAAACGAGTGCCAGGCGCCCAGATCGAGCGTTCGCAGACCGAAATCGCTCGGCACCGGCTGTCTGCAGCTGTGTCCGCGTCCAAAGCTTTAGAGCGCTGTTTCAAGGCCGTTCACAACGCGCTACAGCGCGTCGACGCGCGTCATCGCGAAGTCTGAACGCTGCCTAAGGTGACTGTACCGAGGCTGCATTTTTTCCAAACGTTACTGAACAATCAAAAGAAAGTGGCCGAATCCTGAATAGAAAGTTTTTATGTTTTTCGCCAGCTTCACTAAGGATGAAGCTCCTCCTGAGCCTTGGCACAAAATCAGTTACTGTTCAGGTTTTTCGAAGAATCACCACATCATATAATTTGTTTATTGCAAAAATCAAGAATAAGTGTGATCGTTATAACGATCAACCCATAGGGGCGGGTAAAAGGTCTCATCAGTGTTGACAACTTCGAATTCGGGAGGTTCTTTTGGTAGTTCTTCTTCTCTCTCTGGTTCTCTGGTATTATTTGGTTGTACAGGACCGGGACCAACAGGCTTCTCAGATTTAATAGGTATGATTGGTGGAGGAAGTTTGTCGTCCGTACATCCGATCCAAATCGGGACCGTGTGTTCGTGTTGGTGTCCATCCTCTGTTGTGATCGTAACTTTCAAGGCATAGCTGAGTACCAGAACGTTCCAGTAGGTAATTTCTATGCTCGGTGAAATATGCTTTGGAATCCTGACTGCCCATTTCGTCGGCCACAAATCTTTGTCTTCAGGACTATCCGTTGCTGATACAACTCTCTCGTAACAGTAACTTTCGTCTTTACTCAGTTCCGGATGTCGCAGTCGTCTTTGTTGTATAAGAGTGACTCGTACACTGCGCATTTTCCCAGTTACCGTAACAAAGGCATATTTTCCCCTTTGAAATGCTCGTTGCTCCATTTCAATACCGTATGCTCCTAGAACTTCGGAATACGGTGGCTTAAACTTTTCTTTGGCCCATGTGTCCACGAATCGATCTACGGGGAGATCTTTCACCTTCAGAGACATCATTTATGGACCACGATTTCGTGCTTGCTCTGCAGATATAGCGAATATCATCACTGAGACTTGGTGGCAAAATATTTGTATCATACTGCGAGTCCTTAAAAGGGAGTAAAATGGTAATGGAGTGTTGACCTGGACTGAAAAGCGATCCCGGGTCAGAAGTGATATGTGCCTTGTACCGAATGAAAGTGTACCAAATGGATCCTGCTCGTACTTCACCTTGAAGAAGTAGTCTTAGAGAATGAATTGCTTGAGCTTCCATGCTGTTAACGGTGAATGTCAATTGAGCATAAGCTCTGCTCAGCGACTCGCCCTTGAGCTCTAGGCTTTCAATGTCTATGGAGAAATCGTCGCGTTCTTGTTGTGTTTCTCCGATTTCCGAGTCCTGATCGTCATCATCCTCACTGTCATCGTCAATATCCTGAGCTCGATCGTAAAGCTTCATATCCGTGCTTGCTGTATTGGATCGACTCTAAAACAAGTACTTTTTCCTGTTAGCATACGAAGACTTAGGTTGCGTTCATACTTCGCGGCAGCGTCCACACTCTCCGCAGCGTAAGCCGACTGGAAGAAGATAGATATCGCGTCTAGCGTCTCAGCGTCTGCCGGGCCTATTGTCTTACCGGTGTTCACCGAAGGTTCGCCGAAGCGACCGGAAGAGTATGGAAGAAGGAGAGGTAGCAATCAGCTGGATTAGGCGTCGTGAAATTGCGGCGTGTGCAACCGCACCGCACAACTGCTAAAGCACAGAATTATGCAATTTAATGTACGGTGTAGTGTAGTTGTACGGTGCGGTTGCACACACCGCAATTTCACGACGCCTAATCCAGCTGTTTGCTACCCTCCTACTTCCCCATACTCTACTCCCGGTCGCTGGTGAACGCTGGTGGACGCTGGTAGACGCTAGCAGGTGCTGGCAGACGCGAGATTGATACCTATGCTTCCCCAACCATCGAGACGCTGGTAGACGCTGGTAGATGCTGTAGACGCTAGATCGATATTTACGCTTTCCCAGTCGCTGACGCTGCCGGACGCTTGGAACGCTAGTGGACGCTGTAGGCGCTAGTGGACGCTGCCGCAAAGTATGAACGCAGCCTTACAGAAGTATTTTTTCACTTACCGCAACGGGTTCACTGCTAATTATGATGGGAATTCGAAAATCCACGAAGGGACCACCATTCATCTTCAGTTGGAATAGCAACTCATATCTTATTGTTAGGACATTCCAGAGAGTCATTGCCATAGTGACCGGAATATCCTGCGGAATGACGATTTCGCTGTGAACGTGTTCATCACCGTTCGCTCTCTGCTCCTTACTAGCGAGTACTCGTTCTTGGGTTTCGAAAAGTTGCGGATGATCCGGGCTCGGAGTTTCTGAAAACTTAGATTTTCGTAATCGAGGAAACAATGTAAGAGACGGTCATAGAAGACTGACCTGAGCCCATTATGCTGAATGAGGCTGAGCTTCACCTTTTCCAGTTTTGAGTCGAGTTTCAATTTCCAGCTCACTCTCGCTGTCTCACCAGAGGAGTACGCACATTTCTCTATCCATAACTCGCCATTCATAGTATTACATTTTCTGAAAACAGTAGCCATAATGAAGCCCTCCCAAGAGTGAGCTTTATTTCGCCTGCTTTTCGACATAATTTCGCAATAGCAAAAAAAGGGGAAACAGCTAATTGGTCTACTCAAGCACTCAGCCTATCGTCGATTCGCATTCGTATTTAGATCATCAGGGCCAATTTCAAAGGCAGTTGGCACGATGTTTCCTACTTAGCCTAAAATGCTAGTAGGGCGCTGTATAGTGGGGAAATGGCGAAAGAACGGAGTGAAACGGTCAAAATCCTGCGAAGAAAAAGCCTCCGTTCTCAGTGACTTGAAAAGGACGAGTTTCCCGTAGGCATCTTGCCAATCACCGCTACCGAAGATACGGCTGCATATGTGTACCCATATATGCATGCAGCATCACGGCCGCTTCATACCAATCCCTTCGCTTCATAATTTGCTTAGCAAATGAATGACGAGCGTCAGGAACGGTCGTCCATTTGTGGGCGGGCGTGGCGGGCGTTTGGGACGTAAAGTTGTGGCTTGATAGGGCCCTTATAAGGGCACCTTCCTCGGGGAAACCGCTATGCAGCGCCTGCCCAGGGTCGCGGAATTCTATCCTGCCAGGAGTATTGATCTAGTCGTCTTGGGGGATTTATACAACTGCCTTGAAGGCAGGTGCACTATGACTTGGGACGGGCGGTTACTTTCGATGTCATTGGTGGAACGACTGAGTGGGGGTGCGGCCAAATGCTCCCTCACAGCCCTTTCAACAATGACGTTGACATTGACCTACCCCACCCAGCCATCGCTGCCACTGCCTTCTATTGTTCCCCCGACGTATTACCCTTTCTAGGTGAAGTCCTGCCACTGCCGCGGTGATAGACGTCAACACAACGGCTCTCGCCATCCAGCTGCTTGCCTGGCAAGCCCACGTGGGCGCCCAAAGCCTGGAGAGAGAGCGACTCCCTCAGCGAACCAGATCTGGTTACGGCAGGAGAGGCAGGCAGCAGGTTCGGTTCACTTCAAGGTCTCTCCTATCACGGATTGTCCAAAACTCGTGGTTGCAGGGAGTTCCCCTTTTCATTCATTCATTTATGACGCTAAAGCTTGCGGGTGACGCGGATCTAGTTTGGTGGCAATTGTCACCTTACCACGTGCGTGGTTCAACGGCCAACTCCCGGAGTGGTTTACGTTAGGCCTACCGAGCCCGCCCACCCTCTGAGGACGGCCAATTGGTACCATATTCGTCCAAGAGGGTAAGAAAATTGACCGGTACATCGGCTGGTCCCCGCAACTCATTTTGTGGATAAGTCACTAAGTCGTTCAGTAAGTCAATTTCTGAGTGGAAGTTGAATGGATGCCGATCCCCACAAGGGATTGATTAACTGGTGAGACTCTGTCCTTGGTCCCTATCTTTGCTTTCTCTAGAGACCCTGTTCTACCATGTTGCTTGAAAGAAAAACTCCTATGAGCGATTTTCTGTCATGGATCATTGAGAAGGATGTTAGTTTTGTTGGAAAAAACCCATTCAAGATTGCACTCTTTTTGGTCCATATAGATTTTGTCTTCTTCACCTAGAAAGGGTAATACGTCGGGGAACAATAGAAGGCAGTGGCAGCGATGGCTGGGTGGGGTAG